AGGTATACAATATCGTCACGCACATTTGTGTTTGTGGTATTTTAAAGTTGGTTAAATTATTGTGTACGTTTTCAAGCACTTCAGATCATCATAACTTCATGAATACATTTTAGATTCAGTTCACTGCAAGTAGGTCGATGACTGTTTTATTATTGAATAGTAATTGTTATCATTGTGATGGAATAGACAATACCTGGATTTGCGTCAGGAGAATCAATTAGGGGCCTATATGTATTTTGCCCAACCTGTCGTGAAAATGTATTGAATACCATACTCAGTGCGTGATTCACTAGTACACTTATTGAAATCACATTTCTAAAGCAATAAAATATCGTCACGCACATTTGTATTTGTGGTATTTTAAAGTTAGTTCAACTATTATTGTGTATATTTTTAAACACTTCAGATCATCATAACTTCATGAATAACTTCATTTTTTTTATGAAGTTCAATGCAAGTTTGTACCATACTGTGTGTCTTTGTATATGTTCCATTCTAGTGGAGGTTCTATCTCTTTTGAATTTCTTTTGTATATAAATTAAATACTGTACTTAATTGATTTATTATTGCCCACTTGAATTGTATAGCCCTAGGTGCTGCCGTGTTCTTTATGTAGAGCGCCATATATAAATGCTCGATGTGCTTATCCGGGTCCGATGGCACCTCCAATTTCAAGCAAGTGTTGCAGAGACTCCGGAGTTAGGTTGCATATGAGAATGAAGAAGATAATTTTGATAGCAACATTGATTTATTGCTTTAAGTACTGCGACAATAACATTCAGAGGCGAATTTAGAAAGTTTAGATAAAAAGTATTTATTAATTAAAGTTTTCATAGGTTTGTTTTAACGCCAGTTTGTGTTACCTATTGTAACTTAATTCATTCTAATTAAAGAGAGAAACGGGTTTACCAATAACAGGACCTTAACATTTTTTGCTATGATCGACTACAATGTACGTTAATATGTAATACCGTACATTTAAATCAATTTAGATCAATCTTAATGATGTGATTTTAAATAGCAGAAGCGGATTTAGGGTGGGGGAGCGGGCGGGGAGTGGTGAAAAAAAAAAGGGAAAAAAGAAAAATTGATCGCCCAAACGCATGAGGTTATTTTCGGGCGTCAGCAACCAAATAACATAGGGCCTAGGCTATTTAATATGATGTAGCTGGGCATTTATTTTATGGTGATAGATTAATTAAAAGAAGTTTAACATTGCTCTGTATATATTATTTGAATTTCTTCAATTTCAAACGAACGGCCCCTGATTTTCCTGTAATTTTTGCAGTATTTGAAATGAATATGTACACACATAACTGTCTTCTAATCGGATTAAAATCTGGCCGAATTTTGGCCGATATTGAAAAAAAGTTTGGCCGAATTTGGCCGCGAGATGGCGTGTGTTTGGCCGTGAAGCATGTCGACTATCTGGCAACCCTGTACTCAATCTTTGCAAGACACGCTGGGCGGAGGAAGTGCTTACGATCACTTCTACGATTCCTACCCTTGGTGACTGCATTTGAAATTATTGCACACGGGTTGCATGAAGATGCACTTGATGACGAATTCAAATCGGCATATGGGATGGGAAATCAAAGCAAGACGCTACCGCTCTCCTTTCTTAAATAACCTCATTCAATTTTATAGTTACATTTTCGATTGTTTACTCTTCCCTTGCTCATTTGGCCGACATCACAGTAAAATTACAAAACTCATCACTGGACATCTAGGAATATCGGACTCGGAACTGGGCTGCAAACAACCGTCAGCAAATTGCTGGGTCCAGTGGCGACTCTAGGTCTTTATGATATAATTTATGGGGCGGGGGCTAAGATGTCCGACTGGGGGACTAAGTATTTATGGGTGTAACTATTGCACATCGTTATCTGAGGGCCGAGGATGGGTATTGGAGGGGTGTCCCCTCCTCCCTAAACAAAAAAAAAAAAAAAAAAAAAAAAAAA